GTTGTTTCTGCTGATGTCTAATGTTGTGAGGTTGGTGAGGTTGAAGATTCCAGCGGGGAGGTGACCGGAGAACGAGTTGTGACTGAGATTGAGTGATACAAGGTCGGCGAAGACGGCGAATTGATCGCCGGAAATTTCACCGGCGAGACTCTTTATTGAGAGGTCTAAGCCAGTGACGGCGGAGTTGTTGGTGTTGCAGTTGACGCCGGACCAAGAACATGCGTGGATTTTGTCAGGTGGGTTTTCTGTAGAAGGGAGAATCCAATCTTTCAAGCTGCCATTGGCGTCTGTGAGCTCGGATTTTAAGCTGAGAAGGGCGTCTGAGTAGATATCGGCGGCGGAAACCGCCGCGAAGAGGAGGAGAAGGATTAAGTAGAAGGAGGAATGGAAAATCTCCATTGGAACTTGCAGTTGGGATGACTGAGAGAGCAGACAATTTTGGATGCCCGATTGGAAGAAAAATGTGTCAGATATTATGGAAATCTGTTTTTGTGTGAGAGTCGAGTGAGGACTGCATGGGAACTAGCAAAAGAGGGAAAGGAGGAATAATTTCTTTTTCTTTCTCTTTTTTTTTTATTGAATTTCTTTTTCTTTCTTTGGTGCAACAAATCGACATAAAGTAGGCGGACTTGTTTGAACATGTAAATCGAAAATCTGCAAATATTTCGGTTAGAAAATATGTTTATTAGATAGATGCGCATGACAAAATAGATAGAAATATCTAGAAAGAGACTTTAAAAAAATACATAGGGTATTTAGAGGTAACGAAAAATTTGACGCAAAACTAAGTATAATGACGTTCAAAGATTCTGTAAAAATTAAAAAAAAATGTTCAAGGAAATATCGCAACCTATAGCGTTTTCTAAGATTTTTGGCATTGACTTGAGAGCATCGCTATTTGTATCAGTTACTAAGACTTTTTTGTTCAAAGAAGTATGTTTAACAGTATTTTAAGCTAATTACGTACTACGATCTAAAAAATTAAAATATATGTATTTTTAAGTGTAATTGACCTAAAATACTATTGCAAAAACATTCTGACGTAAGTCCAAATAAGGAACATGATTAGTTGAAATGGGAATATAATTTGGATTGCTTTTGGGAGCAAGAGGGGACCCTTGAGGGTGTTTGTTTATTTGACTGGTGCTGATCATTTAGGAAAAAAATAGATGCTTTGTGAATTTTTTATTTTTTTTTTAACAAAAAATAATCAAAAGTTCACAAAGCATCTCTTTTATGCCTTTTTATTGGAAAGAATCCAATCAAAAGATAGGGTAGATCAAGTAAAAAGTAGGGGACTGAATGAATTTCTAAATTGGTATTGTGAATAGAAAATGTGAGATGAAGAGTAGGTTAAGTCAGTCGCCCGAATTAGTATGCAAAACTGTACGTTTAAGTTTGATCTTTATTTTCTTAAAATGAAAATTACAGTGTGAAAATTCTCTCATTATCTCTTTTTTACTAACAACTAAAGTTCTCTTAGAGCCAATCCAACGGTTGACAAAAAAAGCAATCGTTGAATTGAATTTAAAAACTCTAAATAGCAGAATATTCAATACTCCACAATATTGTAGCCTCGTAGAGAGCTACATGAAGCTTCAAGGTATTACAGTAAAATGAGAAAATGAGAATGTAAAAATTGATTCGTTGTTCTTTCATAACTCTACTTATAGAGCTATATGAAAACTTACAAATAACGTCTCAATCAATAATACAAAATAATGTATTATAAAACTTACATATATTATTATTTTATTAAAACGAGACGTCCTAGTAACAATCATTTTGTTCCATATAGTCCTTCTCGAGCAGCCGATGCAGACCGTGCAGTGCAGGAAAGATGAAAGAGTAAAAGACAAGTTGCTGATAAAAGAAGTAACCTTTTCTTAATTTGTGATGAGCCACAGCTTTTGTGTCCCTCGAGGACGTTAAAAATGGTAATTACTATTTGACAACCCCCATGCTTGAACCTTGACCTTAACAGTAACTCACTGAGTGAATTACCGAGAATGCAAGCTCCTGAACGTGTGATACATGTTTTTGGAAAGAGACATATATCGGAGATGTTATTTTTACAGTATTTTAAATAAGTTTATAGTACTTCGATTTAACGTTCAAGTTGCATGTAAATTCTATTTATACATGTCATGCAGTTGTCTTGATTTGATTCAAAGGAAACAGTGTCAAGCTGTTCGAGTTTTGGGTTTGGCATCACCACTCACGAGAGGGACCCTCCCATGCAGTGGTTCTCGCAGGGTTAGCGTGACTATAAAAACCCTCAGGAATTTCGTGACTTTCTTCTATTATTGCAGTGCTTAAAAAGCAAAAATTTTAGGGTGCTTCGGACATGCGAGATTTAGGATTTGAATTTTGGGGGTGCCTTAGTATTAAAGTATAAGTTTTTTAGATAAACACAAAGTACGAAGCATGCAAAAAAATAAAAATAAAAAATCGGTTTTTCTATTGAGACATTTGTTGAACATTTGGTGAGTTTCTTATCTTAAGTTAAACTATGTTGCACACATGGCAACAGAAACTGACACATGCCGAAACAATCTGATGAGTGATATCAAGAGAATTTGTTGAATGATGTCGCCACAACTAGTTGAGATATGCCTAACAAGCATTACATCAAACACTTGATAGGCACAAAAGGAACTTGTACCAAACATTCAAAGAGTCCTTGAAAGACCTTCACGTGTGTGTGTGTGTGTGTAAATATCTCAGACTCTGAGTGATCTTGGGACCACCTTGGTCATAATGTACATCCACCCATGATTCCGGAGTAAGATTTTGTGATACTTCGATCATTTTAAATGTTTAATATTGATTTTTTTATACAAATATCTAACTGGTTAGAAATACCTCCTTGCATACACCAAATCTATAGTACCATAGAAAATCCCCTTGAAAAAGTTGACACACTTGACATAACAAGATTGTTATATTTTGAGTAGTTTGTTCACAAGAAGCGAGAAAACTTGGGTACAATCAAATATGCATCCCTCTTTTCTTCGTCTTGTTTACGTATAGGGATATAACTTTAGTTACATGTAAGAATCTCTGTTCTCGACTCAACATCGAGCCGGGAATATGTTGACAAGAGAAATCAGTAAATTACTAGAGAAGTTTCCCAACGACAGGTTTGAAATTGAAAGGGACAGACACTTCAACGGGCATTTGATTTGAAACGGATTTGCCCGTGTGCAGCTCAGAACAACACAGCTTTTTAGGAAAAGAATTTACCTGACTTGGATTCCCATTAGAGTCTCAAAACAGTAGGAGGAGCTTTAGCTTATGCTTTGATTTGATACCTCTGCCTCTATCATCTAATCATATAACAAGTACAATTATTTATATTTTACATTATCTTGTAAATACTTTTCACCACATTCTTTCTACGCCGGTCAACTTGTTATTTAGTTCGGAGGACTTTCGTGGTTCAGGTGTATAATTACCGTGAGAAGACAATTAAAATAGATAAAATTGTACTATAACGATCGACATGGCATATTATCTACCCAATTGCCTTATCGAAAAAGTTTGTCATTCCATTGAATTAGGCAAATAGAGTAGACAAAATTATATTTTATTATTATCTTTCATGTATAGTATATACTTTCACTTTTAAGTTTTGTTATCTTTCTTTACGTAGAATATTTTACTATAAAAGAAGATGTGGGGTCCTATTGCCTAGACATGATATTGTAGGCAACATTGTCTACTTTGGGAGAGTAGGCAAAATTTGCAAAAAAATTAATTGCCTATACTGTGGGAGCTGTTTTTGCCTGACATGGGTCATCAAAATGGATTTGCCTGCTCAATTGTCTACATTGAAGATGCTCTGATATTGTGTTAATGATACAAATAAATATGTAAGTTTTTATTCACATAGTATTTGTATCAATAACATAAAACGCTAAAATAACTATGTATCCATGTCCACTGATTTAGATTAGTGGAGGGTCAAAAGACATGCAATTGGGGGAACATATAGTCAAAATATTAGTGGTGCGGAAACTAATAAGCAAGAATAGGATTAACAATTTGCAAAAAAAAAGACGTTAATCATGCACAAAGTATTCATAATATGTTCAATAAAGCAAGAATAGGATTAATAAAGTGATTAAAGAAAGGCACCCCCTTTTGTCCTTGTTACTGTAACAGCTAAATCTATGGCAAAATAACAGTATAACATTTTTCAATGATTAAGATACATTTTGTTAACGAAAATACTTCGGTCCTCACTAGTATGAGTATACCCTATATCCTTACCCAATAATACGGGCCAAATCTTCGTTGTTTTTATAAGGCTAGGATATCGGGTCCTAACGGGGTGAGAGCCTAAGCATTACAAAAACGAACGTTTGTATGCGTCAAGAAACTCAAATAAAGAGAAAGAAGAGCTAAAAAGAAGATGGAAGTATAAATATAAATTGAAATCCATGTCTAATTTAAACGTTATAGCATAATCAGAGACAGATGTACATTAAGACCAGAATGGTCGCAGGATCTCATAAAATATACATGTGAATGTCTTTTGAAAACTCTCCAAATAGGTGGTATGGGTCCCTTTTGTGTCCACCAAGTGTTTGATCTAATATCTGCTAACATATCTCGATAGATTGCGCCGATAATATTCGACAGATTCTCTCGATATCATGCCTTTCCTAAATGCCAAACGACATTCCGCGTGTAAAATATAGACGCTACCGTTTTATTGTTTTTCAATGCATGGGATGTTTCCTTCCTCCTGTGGTTAATGCAAGGCATGTTTGCTATATAGAAAGTGGAACCATTTGGAAATTAAGGGGCAAGAACAAAGCAATTCATGTGCAAAAGGCAGCCGTCTCCATCCAAACATAAGGTTAGAATCGTAGAAGGAAGCTCCAAAGCATGGTTACTTGTAGTTCACGTAACCGAACTAGAAGCACCCGCACCATGCCCTAGTTCCTCCTGCGACAACTCAACATCAACCTAACACATACATCATCACGAGAAACAAAGAAATTTAAACTACTGCATTGATCCTTTTAACGCTCAGAAGATATTCAAGATGTTTTCGGTCTAGAGAAATAATCCTAACATCGGCTGATTAAGTTCATCTTCAATGGTTTTGTACACTGGCCAAGAGAAGAACGGAATTTGAGTGCATCATCCGTATTAAACCTAAAAGCTCGCTACATCTAATTCATCGATAAGCTAATTCACCCAACTTAGTTCATAACACTTACTGATGCCGTACCTTATGGCAAACGTAAATCAAGGAACTTAAACAAAATGCTAAGGATCATGCCTGAAACAGTATTCCACTACCCTTCAGGTACGTTTTCCTTCTTGTTCCACATCATATTCCTCGTCATCGTCATCATCATCCTCAGTCTCAGACTCTTCCATATTATATATGCTGCTCCGCTGAAGCTTATTGAATTCACTTTTCGAATCCTCTTCACTTAGAAATTCCTGTCCATACTTTGTTTCTCGGTGTTTAACCAACAGCCAGCGCAGCAACCGATCTTCCTTGTTCAAGTAGTGCAGCTCTTTGTTGATGTTGGGTGTAGTCATCATTGTCATTTGCATTAGTTGGCCCTATACCATATGGAAACTTTGAGTTATAAATAAAATCATAATAACTCGTCAACAGTTCGAAATACCAACGAGACAACATATGGAAATAGAAAATGACCATAAGTGTACAAATGTATTTCTGCATCTGATGAGATTAAGATGGTCAAGAGCTCTCAAAGGTTTTAGAATATTCCAGGAAGTGCTGAATCTGGTGAAATCTACATTTCCACCCAGGAAGCAGAAACCCTGGAAACCCAATAACCGACAAAGGAGATCGCCCTCACCCTTCAGGATAAAAGGCACCAGCATCCTAATGGAGATGTTCAAGAGTGCTAAGACAGTGAAAATTGTCACTCTTTGGGATGACAAAACGTCTAAAGAACTATCAAACAATAAAGATACGGTTGCACTCTAAAACTGTGATAGAATGCCAACCTTTTTCGTTTTTTTGTTGTCATTTTTCCTAAGTTTAGGGATTGGCAAGGTCTGACAGAAAACCATCCGTCTTGCTATAAAGCTCGCAAAGAACTTTGAATTCAGATATTGTTACAATCTTACAAGCAGAGTCCGTCGTCCCCTGCTGAGGGCGTAACAGAATCTACAACCTAAGATAGTTCAAATTAAGCATCCTGAGAATTCTGAGGGAAGCTTTCAACTTTATGCCATCCCCTAGAGGTTCCATCCTTACATTTGAAATCCTCTAATTCAAGTTCTTAAGACAAACAAAGAAAGCAGCACTTTAACCCAATTCAAATCCTCGTTCATGTCCTACGAAAATATCATCCCTGCTTCAGCCAGTAATTGTCATTTCTCGAACCTCCATATTAAAAGAAGCTTATAGAAATTTCACACACTTTTCATTACGTATCAACAAAGAGAATGGGAAACTGCAGCGGCATCACGTTGGCCCTCAACTTATCGAAAATGTAGCATTAACAAGTTCAACTAAAAAACATCCGCAAACGCAACGAACTACACAACACGCTCTCATTGCAAAAATAGACAATTCAAACGCAACGACGAAGAATACTACAATCTGTAATAATTCAAATGCACTATAAGATTGCAGAAAGATAAAAAGAAACCCACCTGATAGTACCTTCCATCAAGCTTCTTAATACCATAACCTAGCTGAACAGTGCCGAACGACTTCATGTCAGTAATAACTCCATTTCTTCTGCAAACGTGTTTGCTCACTCGAGCAACCAAGTCCATCAGAGACTCCTTCCTCACATGGGGCTTCAGCAGCAGCATACAATCGTACAGCGGCATTTCTTCCGGCTTTTCTTTCACCTGTAAACACCAAAAGCAATGAAATTTCATATTTTTTCATCAATCTAAACCTATCCAGATGCAGTGAGAAAAAAAGAAGTTGGTTATCAAGAATTTACAGGAAGAAAAGCATGAAATTAATAAATAAAAAATGAACTTATGATTCAAAATCCAGAACTGGAACGATTGCAACCAAGATTTGAAGTCGAAGGATATATCAGAAAGGATTTGAGGGAGCTGCCCAGTACCTTGGAGTGTATTTTAGAGGAGTGCGAAGATCAGATCCCAGACGGAGGAAAGGCGGCGATGGAGGCTGAAGAAGTGGAGGAGATCATTATTTTTGAGCTTTAAATCTCGGCCGTCTATCAGTTTAGAAATGAACGAACGGAAGTATACCACGTATACCACTTATAAGGGCTCCGATCATATACTACACAAATCTCGAAATGGAAAATAAGATCATCACCAACCGACTCGGCCATAGGGTTAAAAATAGCTCGAAATGACACAAAAATTGTCTCCAACCAAGGACTAAGCCATAGGGCTTATGGGCCCCACCAAGCCAAAACCCTCAAATTAGGCCAGCAGGCTGGCCATTTCTAGCCAACCTTCCAGCTCAGCCAATTTGAATGCTAACGGCTAACTAACGTCATGTTACCATTGGAATTTGATTTTTTTTTTTGGAAGAATTTAAAAAAAATTAATTTAATTTTTTTTCCTATAAATACCTAAGTCATTCTTACATCATTTCTCACATACTTTTCACCATTCTACACTATTTTACCTCATTTTATTTCAATTCTTCACATTCTATTCTATTGCCTCTTTCAATAATCTTTCCTTTAATTTTTTCAATAATTTTCAAATGGCCACAACTGCAATGAAAGGAAGGCTTCGACCCGAAAAGATGATGAAGCTCTTTACAAAGCTTATAGATGGGTCTCATATGTTATTAGTTTTGAATAGCATACTATAGTCTATAGATCCAAGTTTTTACGGCTCGTAGTGAGTGCTTTTAAAATAATTGAAAGCATTTTTAGAAAAAAATATTTTTGTATTTCACAAGCACTTTAAGTGTTTTTTCATGATTCAATTGCATGTTCCTATGAACTAGCTCTAAAAACGTTATCATTAAAACGTTTTTAGTTTTTTTTTTTTTTAAATTACTTTTAAACGAGCTTTTACTTCACGGGATGTAGGTAGACCAAACTATGTTCAACCCAAAGTGGACCCAATCAAATTAAATTTCCTTCGGTTTACACATCCAGTCCAATTCATTGATGGGTCAATAATCTGCCTAGCCCAGACACGTCGGTTGGTACACACAGACCCAGAGCCCACTCACCGGAACCCGGATCCACTGTTTCCCGTGTTCCGTAGGCCGTAGCTTCCACGAAACCGCGATTCCAGTCTAAACCTGCCCAAACGGAATACTCAGTTTCCCCGGTCAACACGTGTCGATAAGACCAACCACTCCACCCGTTCACTTTTGAACGCGTGGCTCTCCGGTCCCCTTCACGGCAACCAAAGCATCGAACCACACATCATTGCCACTCTCTTACTCCAGAATTAAAAAAGCCAGCGCAGACCTTGCTTGGTCGCCTTCGTAAATTTGTGAAACACCAGTGCAATACAGTAAATTCAACCCCCGGTATAACTGCAAATCCACGTCGGTCAAAATCTCAACCCGCCCACGCTCCTCAGATGGTTCCAAACCTCACGCGACGTCACGTGACGTACCGGAACCTCTCTATAAATACACGCTCCCCCTTGCTTTGCAAAATATAGCATTTCTTCTCCGATAACAAAATTTTCAGAAAATCAAGAAATTAAATAATTTTTTTTTCTTTCACAATTTTCAATTTTCTCCTTCTCTTTCTTTTTCTGAGGGAAAAAAATGGTGACGGCGATTTTCCGATCGCAGGATTGCCTTCGAGGTAGGTTCCGCAACGAAGCTCTAACCCTAACCCTCTCCCCCCGCTCCGGATCACGACGGAGCCCCAATTTCTCTAACCCTAACCCTAATTCCACCCCCAACCATGGCTCCACCGCCAATATTCATCAATCTCGCCGCCGGAAGAGGAGTCCGATGGCGGTTCAGTCCAATCAGCACGACCGACCTCGCGATCGGTACGCTGATCACTCCGTTGTTGCGAAGGCGCCGGTTAAAAACCTTGTGACGGGACAGGTCAAGATCCTGAGGCGCGGTGAGGTTTTGAACCCGGAGAAGAGCAACCGAGGGCTAAGAGTGGTTGCTAGCGACGATTGCAAGCAGAAGGCGAATAAGGAAAACGATCCGGATTTGGTTTTGGGATCCACGGACCGTTTGGGACCCGACCCGGAGACCGTGCAGAAGCAGATTAAGGCTGCGGAGTTCAAGGTCATGGACGCGATTTATGCTGGATCGAGCGTTTTCTACGCGTCTCCGCCTCCGAGCTCGGTGCCGCTGCCTGCTTTTTTGGGAAGGAACGGCACCGCAACGAGCGATCTCCGCCGGCTGCTGCGGCTCGATTTGGTGTGAGCGATGGTGATTTAGCAAGGCTGCCTGCTTGAATCGTTTGATCGAAAAGTTAAATGAATCCGAAATTCCGAAAATCGTTGAAGGTTGTTCTATTAGTTGGTAATGATTGTTCGCTTTGCTTCCTTTATTTTTTCAAGAGGAAAGTTGATTTGAGTGCGAGCAAATGATGATAAGATTAGGGCAAATATCTTGCTAGGGTTTGTGCAAATTAAAGGAAGAAGATTAGTAGGAAAGTTTGTGTGTTTGGTGCCTTGTATAGTTTACTTAGTGTGCAAGAAATGTTTACGAGGTTGGATGAAAAGAGAAGTATATAGAGAGAAATATTATATGATGCAGTAGTAATCATCAAAGAATAAAATGTTGTGCTTAATCTCTTGCCAATCATTCTGTGTTTTTTATCTGGATTTGCACGAGTTTTTCCTGTTTAGAAATGGTGTCGAAATATGTGAGTAGCCGGTTGTTTGCCTGTATTGGTAGGTTTACCGGCTACTCGCAGCCGGTTGTCTGCCTGTGTTGGGCAGCCCGGGAAACTTGTTGTCTGCCTGTAATGGGCAGCCCGTCAAACCGAATATAACTAGCCGGTTGTCCCCATGTATCGGGGAGAATGTTCAGCTACTCATCCTGATATTTGGGTAGCAATTCTCCGCTGTCTATTGGGCAGATAGACCGACTACTTGCAACCCGCAATATGTGAGGAGCTGGTTGCCTGCGTCAACCGGCCTGCAACAACTGCCCGCCAGTATTGGGCTGATTTTCCGCTACTCAAATCCCACAACTGATATGTGAGTAGACAGTTTCCACTGTATGCAGATCGACGGGCTATACTCATCCCAATACAGATTGTTCGGCTACTTAAATCCCGTATCAGATGTGAGTAGCTGGTTGTCCGCCTTGGGCAGATTGACCAGCTGGTTGTCCGCCTTGGGCAGATCGACCGGCTACTCACATCTCGTAATTTCCTTGCAATGGAGAAAACCCCGTTGGGAGTAATGTAGGTGCCCGGAAATTTCATATATATAGACATTGATTCAAGGGAAATAGGCTAGTTGGCTACTTCTACTCAATATATTTTTGGTTGGTTTGAAAGTTCATTTAAAATGATTAAAACTGCTTTTTTAAGGACAAAAGTTGAGTTTATTCACTTGCATTTTTACTGAGGATTAATTCAAAAATATTTTGACCAAACGCTTTCAGTTATTTTAAAAGCCTTTAAAACTGAATTGTAACGATCATCTGCTTTATTTATACATCATTATGCTCTAAAATATCTCAAACTGTTGAATCGTTTTGCCTGACATTAACGGAGTCGTCAGCTTCAGGATACTCTTCCGGCATTATCCTCTTCCAGAACCAGTGCTTTCTCCACATCAGTATCATCTCTTCGATTGGAATCCCCTTGGTTTCGGGAAGAAACAGGTAAACAAAGACGCTCATGATAGTAATCCATCCCGCGAAGAAGAGGAAGATCCCGAATTTGAGCGCGCACAGGAGGGAGAGAAACGACTGGGCGATGATGAAGGTGAACAGAAGGTTCACAGACACTGTAATGCTTTGTCCAGCTGATCGGGTTTCTAGAGGGAAGATCTCGCTTGGCACTGTCCACCCGAGAGGACCCCATGAATACCCGAAAGCTATCACGAAGAGGCAAATCACCGCCACCACCAGTACTGAGAATCCTTTCGATAGTTCTTGATTGTCCCCGAACTTGAGCCCCAAGATTACTGCGACTATGACCTGTTTCGCGTTGAAGAGAAGAATAATAAGCGTTTATAAAGCGTTTTTAGAACTTTCAATTAGTTTTTCTAATTGAATTGTAATGAAGTTTACCTGGCATACAATCATTTGTATTCCACCAGTAATGAGCAGAACCCTTCGTCCCAGTTTGTCAACTGCTGCGATAGATAGCAGCGTAGACGTGACAAGAACTGCTCCGGTTAAAGCAGAGGAGTACAGAGCAGCATTTCCCCCGAACCCCATACTTTGAAACAACACGGGAGCGTAGAACAGAATCGAATTTATCCCCGTGAGGATCTGGAATGTCGGCATGAAGATTGCCATAACGAGCTGAGGCCTGTTCCTTCGCTCGAGGATGTTTCTGAACGGGTGCTTTATTGCATTGGCAAACTCGCTTGCATCCATCATGTCCTGAAACTCTGCGCTGACATTTTTGGTTCCTCTAATTCTCTCCAAAACTTTTCTTCCTTCGTCTTTACATCCTCGTTCGATCAAGCTATTTGGTGTCTCGGGTAGAAATATTCCTCCGACTGTCATTGCTGCAGCTGGTACTAGAGCCAGCCCTAGCGAGAGCCTCCACCCCCATGGCTCGAGTTTTTGAGTTCCGTAGTTTATCATGTTTGCTGTGAAGATCCCAAGCGTAGTTGCTAACTGAAACATCATGTTTAAGGCTCCTCGAAGATGCGTTGGCGCTATTTCTGAAAGATATAGCGGAATAGCCTTCAAGACAAATAAGCAAGCAGAAGAAATCAGTTGTATTCGAACATTTTGTTGACAGAAGTAAGTCATTGCCTTCTGTGAATTAGTTACCTGATTTCCAAATCCGATACCAACGCCAAGCATGATCCGACCTAAGAGAAGCATGGCCAAATTCTCAGCTGAAGCGTTTAGAGTTGCTCCAACGAGGAAACTGACTCCGCCACAGATTATACTTCCTCGGCGTCCATAATTTCTTGTGACCGGAGAAGCCACAAAAGATGCAACTAAACCGGCGAGGTACAGCGAAGAGGTAAACGCTGCAAGACCCTGGTTATCATACTTGCAGTAGTTATTTTCCCGGGCATGCGTCTTGTTTTTGTACACTGTCTTGAAGAATTTCTTAAGAAATCCGTCCATCGACGTAACCCCGCCTAACGACAGTTAAAACCAAACATTTAGAAGAGATTCTTCAGTAAGATTTCTGCTTCCATATTTCACACACATACAGGCACAATCATACATGTTACCGATTTTATGACCGTCTGAAAACTTCCCTACAACGGTGATGACACCGTGGCGGTATTCCAACGACACTATGATCGTACCTTAAATCAATCACACAATGCTATGTGGGAAAGTTAAAAATACATGACAATACGTGATTGACTTAAGATACTGTCATAAGTATCATTCTGACATTTGTAAGTTACAATAAGAATGTGTTCTCCCTTTACTACTCTTTTTTTTAGAAAAGAAACTTAAGTGCAACTAATTGTATATCCGTTTTTTTTGTGCTTATCTCTCTCCTCGATCCTTCTTCTCACCCGTGAGGAGAGAGATAAGCACAAGCAGATATACACCCTGTTGCACCCATATTTTTTTTTCCATTTTCAGCTACCCAAAATTTATGATACCATGTAAGAAAGCTGAACTTTTCACCACTAACTTTGCTTTCATGTCATAATTCCCTAATTCTTTCGTTCAACGACTCGGTAGATTACCTCATGAAACCCTGAAAAAGGCAAAAGACCAAAGAGCTAGCCAACAAAAATGTGAAAGGTTACCTGAAATTCCGATATCATAACCGAAAAGCGAGCCGCCGACGGCGGCAACAATGCAGGCAACGATGACATAAGGGGTGAGCCTCCCTTGGTACTGCTGTGCCCTCTCCTTGGCCACACCGGTCGGCGCGAACGACCCTCCCGCCATTTCCAAGCAGAGAGGAGCTAGCTCCTGCTACGAGACACAAGAAAGAGAGAGAAAAAAAAGGAAAAAAAAGAAAAAATAAAAAAAGAGAATTCTCAACTTTCTGGGAAAGAAGGAGGATCCACATCCATATTTTTATAGCTGCTCTTTGTTTCTTTGCAAAGTGAAATTGGTGACATATCTAACCTTAAATTTATCCTTGAAACCACGATGTTATACGTTAATTTAATCTAAATTATAAAAAGGAGATTCAATCCATATCATGGATCCTCCTTGTACTGCTATTCCCTCTCTTTATTTAGATTTTTTTTCTCTTGAATGGTCTGAATTTTGGAATATATTGATTTCAGACACAAAGATCCAAGGATTTCGACTGATAAATTCATATCAACCAGGCTGAAACTTGATCAGATAGAGACAGGTCTCCCTTCACATTTATGATGAGTCAATGATGTCCATTTTTTCTTGATTTGCAATTTTCCACTTGAACTGACTTTGTTGCATGTTTTTGGTTTTATATTTGGGGAAAGGGATCCTCTCTGGATCCTTTCACATAATCTTTTTCATCAAATAATCTGGATCTTTCAAATTTGATCAAATGATTACAAACAGAAACCAACTCTAAAAGTTATAATAACTTTAGTCGTTAGATCAAATTTTAATGACTTAAATTGTTCAATAAGAAGGATTAGGTGGAAGAGATCTGGAGGAGATCTCTTGATGCATGTTCTCAAATATTGTCTTCTCTGTTTGGAACTTGGTTGTACTAAAGTATGGTGCTTTGGATTACACGTAACACATGAAAAAGGAAAAGATAAGAAAGATGTAAGACAGAGAGGGCTTCTGTTTTGGGTAGTGGAGCGCGATAACATCGTATACGCAGTTCATATGTTACATAATATGTATATTTAGTGATACTAATACTATAGCAGTGTGTTTTTTTTATCTTTTAAGGCTTCTAGTGCGGTTTCGTGATTTTTTATGATGGATTGGAAGAATTTTTATTAATATTTCGTCAAATCAGATTTATGTGTATACATAGTTATAGAGAAAGAAATTAAGTTGCAGATACTTTAACTTCTTTTGTAGATAATTATGCTTATAATTGGTGGTCTATGATTCCAAATTTTATAACCTTTGCTCATTCTTGTGACATTTCGTTTTGTCCTTATTTCCGTTTTCGTTGATTGTTTCTATCTTTGCGGTCTTGGCATAGTCCCCCGCCTTTATCTTTTTCGTTTACTTTCATTTGTTGTCAACAAAATTGTTGGAGGAGGGACGAGAAGAGAGTTTCTGGATGTAAAGGTCCTCACATCTTTGAAAGAGAATAAGTGCCTTGCATGCGACCATTGCCGAATAACTAATCTCAACTAATCTTTCTTTATTTGAAATGATATCCTATAACTTCTTGTATAAATCCACATCTTATAGCCAATTCACATATTATAACATTTGAACTGGTTAAATTAGATAATCGTATTTCAGGACCATACATACTAAATCCACAGTCCTATAACCACTTCACATATTATACCACTTACATCAATTATACCAAATGATCCTATCAATACAATACAACAATTTCTCGTCCTGCTGACGGTTTCAGGTTTGAATGATTGTTGTTGGTGAGTACGATCATTGAATGATTGTTGTGGGAGTGACAAAATATTATACTTTATTTGCTTTATGGGGTCAAGTCAACATCCGCTGTAAGGGCAACGTGTGTGGATGATTGACACTTA